ACTAGTTTTTCAGGTTTTTTTTAGTTTTTCAATTTTTTTAATTTTTCAATTTTTCAATTTCTTCTTGTTTTTCAATTTTTTCAATTTTTCTAGTTTTTCTAGTTTTTCAATTTTTTCCAGGTTTTCTAGATTTCTAGTTTTTTAATTTTTTCTAGTTTTTCAGTTTTTTCTTATTTTTCAATTTTTCATATTTTTCAAGTTTTTATAGATTTCTAGTTTTTCTAGTTTCTTAGATTTTCATTTTTCCATTTTTTCAATTTTTTCTAGTTTTTCTAGTTTTAATAGTTTTTCCATTTTCTTCAATTTTTCTAGTTTTACTAGTTTTTCTAGTTTTTCAGGTTTTCTTATTTTTCAATTTTTCAATTTTTTCTAGTTTTTCTAGTTTTTCTAGATTTCTAGTTTTTTTATTTTTTCTAGTTTTTTTAGATTTCTAGTTATTCTAGTTTTTTAGGTTTTCTTATTTTTCCATTTTCTTCAATTTTTTCTAGTTTTTCAATTTTTTCAATTTTTTCCGGGTTTTCTAGATTTCTAGTTTTTTAATTTTCTCTTGTTTTTCTAGATTTTTAGTTTTTCAAATTTTTTTAGTTTTTCTAGATTTCTAGTTTTTCTAGTTTTTCAGGTTTTTCTTATTTTTCCATTTTTTCTAGTTTTTCAATATTTTCAATTTTTTTGATTTTTCAATTTTTAAAATTTTATGTATTTCTAGTTTTTCAGGTTTTTCTTATTTTTCAATTTTTTCAATTTTTTCCGGTTTTTCTAGATTTCTAGTTCTTAAGGTTTTTCTAGTTTTTCAATTTTTACTAGTTTTTCAGGTTTTTTTTAGTTTTTCAATTTTTTTAATTTTTCAATTTTTCAATTTCTTCTTGTTTTTCAATTTTTTTAATTTTTTTAGTTTTTCTAGTTTTTCAATTTTTTCCGGGTTTTCAAGATTTCTAGTTTTTTAATTTTTTCTAGTTTTTCAGTTTTTTCTTATTTTTCAATTTTTCATATTTTTCAAGTATTTATAGATTTCTAGTTTTTCTAGTTTCTTAGATTTTCATTTTTCCATTTTTTCAATTTTTTCTAGTTTTTCTAGTTTTAATAGGTTTTCCATTTTTTCAATTTTTCTAGTTTTACTAGTTTTTCTAGTTTTTCAGGTTTTTCTTTTTTTTTCATATTTTCTAGTTTTTCAATTTTTTCAATTTTTTCCGGGTTTTCTAGATTTCTAGTTTTTTAATTTTCTCTTGTTTTTCTAGATTTCTAGTTTTTCTAGTTTTTCAGGTTTTTCTTATTTTTCCATTTTTTCTAGTTTTTCAATATTTTAAATTTTTTTGATTTTTCAATTTTTAAAATTTTATGTATTTCTAGTTTTTCAGGTTTTTCTTACTTTTTAATTTTTTCAATTTTTTCCGGTTTTTCTAGATTTCTAGTTCTTAAGGTTTTTCAATTTTTCAATTTTTACTAGTTTTTCAGGTTTTTTTTGTTTTTCAATTTTTTAATTTTTCTATTTCTTCTTGTTTTTCAATTTTTTCAATTTTTCTAGTTTTTCTAGTTTTTCAATTTTTTCCGGGTTTTCTAGATTTCTAGTTTTTTAATTTTTTCTAGTTTTTCAGTTTTTTCTTATTTTTCAATTTTTCATATTTTTCAAGTTTTTATAGATTTCTAGTTTTTCTAGTTTCTCAGATTTTCATTTTTCCATTTTTTCAATTTTTTCTAGTTTTTCTAGTTTTAATAGGTTTTCCATTTTCTTCAATTTTTCTAGTTTTACTAGTTTTTCTAGTTTTTCAGGTTTTCTTATTTTTCAATTTTTCAATTTTTTCTAGTTTTTCTAGTTTTTCTAGATTTCTAGTTTTTTTATTTTTTCTAGTTTTTTTAGATTTCTAGTTATTCTAGTTTTTTAGGTTTTCTTATTTTTCCATTTTCTTCAATTTTTTCTAGTTTTTCAATTTTTTCAATTTTTTCCGGGTTTTCTAGATTTCTAGTTTTTTAATTTTTTCTAGTATTTCTAGATTTTTAGTTTTTCAAATTTTTCTAGTTTTTCTAGATTTTTTAGTTTTTCTAGTTTTTCAGGTTTTTCTTATTTTTCAATTTTTTCACTTTTTCAATTTTTTCTAGTTTTTTTAGTTTTTCAGGTTTTTCTTTTTTTTTATTTCTTCTAGTTTTTCAATTTTTTCAATTTTTTCTAGTTTTTCTTTTTTTTCAATTTTTTCCGTCAAATTAATTTGACTTTCTCTGGGTAAAAATCATACCCTACGCATCGAGAATATGGTAACGTCGTTTTCAGGGTGTACCATGACCCAAAAAACTATAGAAAAAATGACGGATTAGTATGAGTAAACAAGTCATATGTGTACCAAATTAAATAAATATAGCTATATTTAAAATTACAGTTAATTTAATAACCGATAACTATCATAGTTTTGGTTTAGGATTATCCAAATTTGGTATTCAATTGTTTTATTTGGTTATAATTTATCCTGTCAAGTATCAAATGCATTACTTGAACTTACCTTTTCCATTTCGAAACTATCCATAGGCGAAAGATTAAGACACTCGTGTCCCGAAACGACATTCAAAGAACTAACTAGAAACACGGATAAAAGACACAATCCATTGAACCTCATTGTACGAAGGTGTAAATATAGACGCGTAAGTTGAATATTATTGAAATCTAAAAAAAAAAAACATTGCAATTATATAACTTATGTCATCATCATTTTATGGCCTTTTGAGGTCTAACCTCACTATCATTAGATGGTTTCTAGACGGAACGGGTCGTTAGGCTATAGCCAGAGAGGGCTTGCCCAGCAAACTGTGACCAAGTGTCAAACCGGTGACGACAGTGAGCGCTAAACCCACTGCCGCCTTACCGACTTGGCCACACGTCCTCTACGTATTATTTAAGTAGTGATGTGAGGTTGTGAGTTGCAGTATCGACAGATTGACATCAAAGCGTTTATTTGAATGTGATTTTATTACTATAATTATTTGAAAATAAGGCACGCCAGAATGCTTTTCATCGAAAGTCATTTTTTAATCAAACTTTTCCATAATACGGAGAAAAATAACATTAAAAGTTTTATCGAAATGTTCATTACATTTTTCTTAATTTTAAAAGTTTATAAATTTTATGTAATTAAAATCACATTGAATAAAAAATTAATGAAAAATCCAGATTATTACATAAATAAGTCATGTCTGATGGTAAACGATTATTGGTTTCCAATTTTCCATAAAAATAATCGTAAGTGAAATTAGGTTTAAATAATTTGACTTTCTCTGGGTAAAAATCATACACTACGCATCTAGAATGTGGTAACGTCGTTTTCAGGGCGTACCATAATCCAAAAAACTATAGAAAAAATGACGGATTAGTACAAGTAAACAAGTCATATGTGTACTAAATTAAATAAATATAGCTATTTTTAAAATTACAGTTAATTTCATATCCGATAAGTATTTATATACTTATTACTCTATTAATGTTTTATTTGGTTACAATATATCCTGTTTAGTATTAAATGCATTACTTGAACTTACCTTTTCCATTTCGAAACCATCCATAGGCGCAAGATTAAGACACTGATGTCCCGAAACGGCATTCAAAGAACTTACTAGAAACACGGATAAAAGACACAAGCCATTGAACTCCATTGTACGACGGTGTAAATATAGACGCGTAAGTTGAATATTATTGAAATCTAAAAAAAAAAATACAACTTAAGTCATCATCATTTTATGGCCTTTTGAGGTCCAACCTTACTATCATTAGATGGTTTCTAGACGGAACGGGTCGTTAGGCTACAGCCAGAGAGGGCTTGCCCAGCAAACTGTGACCAAGTGTCAAACCGGTGACGACAGTGAGCGCTAAGCCCACTGCCGCCTTACCGACTTGGCCACATGTCCTCTACGTATTATTTAAGTAGTGATGTGAGGTTGTGAGTTGCAGTGTCGACAGATTGACATAAAAGCGTTTATTTGAATGTGATTTTATTTCTATAATTATTTGAAAATAAGGCACGCCAGAATGCTCTTCTTCGAAAGTCATTTTTTAATCAAACTTTTCCATAATACGGAGAAAAATAACATTAAAAGTTTTATCAAAATGTTTATTACATTTTTCTTAATTTTAAAAGTTTATAAATTTTATGTAATTAAAATCACATTAATGAAATAAACTCAAAATACCACAAAACTGATTTATTTTTACAACTTTGTACATCTTTTAATATTAATTGCGCTTTTCAACAACACATTTTATTATCCTAAACAACGAACAAAAATTAAATGCTATCGATAAATAATCCAGTGAAAGTGTTGGTTAGATTTTTCATGATTTTAAAATAAAAAATAAAAATGTACACTTTAATTTAAGTTTTTAAATGTATTACAATTTTAAGAAAACTAACAGAGATCGGCGTATAGCACTAGATAGTTGATGATTAGGTACAAATAACGTGATATTAAACGCATTTTCTAGTACGCGTTACACATCCGACGGAGACACACGTGTATTATCGCAACACATAAGCGCATTTTATGGCTTCCGATAGCATTCACTATAGAATAACGTCAATCAGGTAATATGATCTGTCCTAAAAAAACCAAAAACCACAACTATTGTACGGTAATTATATATTATATATATATAGTGGACTGTAAGGGGGTTTAAACAACAATAACACAGAAATCAATTACTGGAACAAACTACTACTATTTAGAAAACAACTATGTGCAATAATATATTACTCACTGGCCAGCTTGCTAAATTGACAAACAACAACTTAAAAACTAAATATATACAAAGGCGATAACTATTTACAACGGTCCAACTATGGTTAGTTCGGTCGCTCCAGCTAGGTGGTCAGTCGGTTGATCGTGGTTGTCGGTTGGCAAAATAAATTCGATAAATTCGAATGATAGTAGTAAAGAAAAAATGATATTAGCAAACGGTCGGAGAGGCGAGTATAGGTGGTGGTGTGGGGAGCGGCAGCCTATGTAATTCCCGAACAACTATCATAATGAATAAGCTTAAAAAATCAGACGCTCAGTCCAAAACCACTAACACCAACAGTTCAAGTAACCTTAACAAAACCTTAATTACAAATAACTCAAAACCTAACACAAGCAACAAATACAACTCTACAGCTCAAACTGCCAATAATAGAAGCAGCCCTCTTATACCTCTACTAATACAAACACTACCAAAACCAGTTGTAACGTCAGCAGCTACACACACCGAGCCGCCGTTTATCAATATTAAACCGACCACTACTTCTCCACTAGCCTCTGCACCCAGCAACAAAACCGTCTACCGTAACACCACCAATACTAATTCTACACAATCAAATGATAGAAATGATTCCGGCAACTACCAAATAGTTCAACATGGTCATAATTCATACACAAATAAATCTATTAACTACGCCACCATCACAACTCACGAGAATACCCCTAAAATAGAGCAAGCAATCGTTTTTAATATCATCGAGAATGTTCCTAAAAAAGAGTACATATTAGCTATAGGAAAATTGGTAGACCCCAGTAAGATAATTTTTGTATCGAGAATAACCAATAATCGCTTTTGTATTTTCCTATCTAGTCTAGCAGTTATAGACAAACTTTTGGAAACCACTAAGACTATAAAAGTAAATGAGTACGAAATTGAAATTCGCAAATTGTTGAATCCAGCAAAAAGAATAGTAATCTCCAAGAGTTACGTGTTAAAAGTGCAAAGCTTTCGGACATACGAGTACGTCCTATCCATGCAAAAAAAACAACGTTAAGCAAATTGAAAATACTCAAACAATCTTAAATCAAAATATAACACCTGAAAAAGAGACGGAAGACGAAGACTACTCTGAGATGCTGGAAAACACTGAACCTCCCAAAATACTTTTAATAGATGAACTTGATATCACCCGAACTATGGACTGGAATGAAAGCACATCTGAAAATTTACCCATAACATCCGTAACAGATAACTCACTCAGAAACGAACCACGAAAAAACCAATCAAACGCTACAAGTATCAATATCCATATTGAAACACCAACAACTGAGAAACACAAAAGACCACTATCCGATAGTTCTTCCCTGAAATCTGCTACCGCACAATCTCCCCCTAATGCCAGTAAAAGTCAACCTAAGGAAAAACCAAAACTACATACTAGCTCAAACTCTTCTTCTATAAAAGATGAAAGTAGATTAAATGAAATGCTTCAACCAACTGAAGACATATTTTCCAGCGATCATTGCTCTATAACCTTAGAACAGTTTAAATATGTCCTAGATCAAATTTTTTAAAAAATCAATAAATAAACTCCCTATGTAATTATACAAATTCAGATATAACCACCATCATGAACATAATAGACTTATTTCGACCATTAATAAATGATAGGCCAATGAAAACCAAATTGACCAAACTATCAAATCTTATTTTTTAAACACAGACATTCCAAGACAACTAATAAAAACCAAATCCTAATCTCATCAGAAAAACATCATGAACAAAAAAAATCAACACTATAAAAATTCTTCGATGGAACTTCAATGGTTTTCACAAAAAATATAACGAACTACAAATACTGGTAAATCAATACATTAACATTAAACATTAAATATACCGACCTTTTTTTACAACCCAATATCACTCGGTGGACGCATGTGTGGTCAGATACTAAAAAACATGTTACATATCAGTTCAACAAGATTTGTTCTCCTGATTTCAAATCTAAAATTATTTTATTCGTCAGACCATTTAAATGGAGTACGAGATCTATTTTAAATAATTTTAAAATTAAAAAAATGAATACCATTTATTGTACCTTTAAAGCATCCTAAATGTCTCATTTGAAGATCGGTAGAACTTTACATGACACTCTGTTCGTATGATTAAAAAAAACAAAATATGTTAAACATCCTACAATGGAACCTTAATGGCTTCCACAAAAAGCTGGAAGAATAAAAAATTACAATACAAAACCACAATCCACAAATCATTTGCATACAGGAAACAAACTTTAAAGATAACTACACCGCCCCCCTTAAAATCTACAACGGCTATAGCAAAAAACGAACAGTAGCAAATAGAGCCAGCGGGGAAACCTCAATATACGTAAAATCAAACATCCCCGTCAAGGAAATAAAGATAAACAGCGGCTTTGAGGTAAATGCAGTATTGATTGAACACGAAGAGACCTTAAATAACTCAAGATGGAACTTAAAAAACCTAAATTGGACACTTTACAAAAAATTATTAGAAGAAGAAAGTTATCGCTTAAACCTTCAAAATACAAACCACCAACATGCAATGCATGTGGCGAACAATCTCCCACATACTCACAGAATGCCAAAAATATGAAAATTACCGCAACCAATTCGACATCACCGCGCAATTAAATCAAGCCTTAGTACCAAATACTCAAGATATCACGAACTTAAAATGTTTTTTTAAAAAAACTGAACTGTATAGTTTAATGTAAAATTTTCATGTATTTCTAATTGTAACCTGATGTATACTAATAGCCTTAGCTACTAATGTAAATAAAGATCAATAAAAAAAAAAACCGCATTTTCGATTTTTGAATGTTTTGCAAAAGAAATTTTAGTATTTGTTTAATTTTGAAGGTGATGAGGTACTCTCTTTATTTGTAAAAGAGCTACAGAAAAAAAACAAATACATTACACTAAAAATGTTAACCATATTCGTTTATAACATTTATAGTCAAATATACAAAAAAAAGTTGAGCAAATCAATTAAGTTTAAAAAATATAAACTACAATTACTTAATACATTGCATTATTTTAAAATATATAAAAAAATGTTGTGTAAACCAAATAAACAAATTATTTTTTAACGCTTTATATTTTTATTAGAGTCATTAATACAAATATTAAAAAAGGAAAACGTTTCTATAGAGAATGTGATATCAATTAAAAAAAAAAATCTTTAGAAATAAAGTCATGGCCATTATAGAATTGTAAAAAATATATATCTATCGCAACCAGAGTAATGCAAATAAAATAATTCGAATAACTTTTACTTGAATAACATTTTATTCGAATGATTCCAACACTACACATTAAACAAAATAAAAATTGAATATAGCATTTTATCAAAAATATCACCTTAAATATCATTAAGATACAAAATAAAAAATAGAAATTTGTATCTTAAATAGGTTGTTAAAATTAAAGTATTTGAAAATTTCACCATTTCTGATCAAAAGTATACTTACAATCTTGAAGTTTGATAGTGCAGCTTACTAAACGATGTACTGTATTCTAACAGAGTTTAAACTTACGTGCTTTAGTCATTGGTTTTACACAACGATCGTCATGATATATGTTCTAGAAAAATTTGGTAGGCTAGCCTATGTGAATTTACATAGCTGCTTGAGTATGAAAATTTATCGGTAAAAATATTATTAATATAGATTTATGCTTGATAGGTGTTTACCGTTTTTCTTCGTAGTATGAATATAATTTAAATAATAGTTTATACATTTTTACATGCTTTATTTTAACTCGCACGTACGTACGGGTATTTTTCAGATCTTACAAATTTAATTCATCCGATTTCCCGATGTCGTAGAGGGCTGAAACTTGGCGCAGACACTCATCTCGGATGACAATACAATATGCTGTAATAATATTGGGACTCGGACATCCAGCTCACCCAACACACGGTCATTTCAATAAAATGTTATGTTTTTTTTAAATCTTTCAAAATGTATTTAGTAATCTATTCACAATTAATAAGAACCTTTTAGAGAACTAAAACGTAAAAAATAGTTTTACTACAAGAACAATTTACCATTTTTTTTAAAATGTCTATCACGTTGAAAACAACCGAAAATTAACTACAACTTTAAATAATGTTAAACACCTTTAATTTCTAACCACAAAGAAAAGCGTGGACCCTATTGAACTAAGTCCCTAATAAATTAATCTGATAATGTTTTTAAATTGTAAGTTTTGTGTGATTTTAATTTGGTTCAATTTTAGTGTATGACACCATAGCCGTTTTCCGCCAAAGGTTATATTCTGATATCCTCCAAAATAAATAAAAAATTGTTACCTAATATTTTATTAAAAACCCCCAAAACTAAATATGTGTATGTATTTTTATAGTGTATGTATTTTAGTTTTATTTACTGCTTTTCGATTACAGGCTAAATTAATAATTTGTCTATCTATGATACGTCTATCGACAGCACTATATTCTGCTTTATGATTTCCCTATATTGTGAAAAGTTCATAATTATTATTTATTGTAAACATTTTAGCCTTAACTTTTTGTTGTGGGACCTTCGCTTAATTCCATTTTTAGCTGTGTACGAGTAGTCATATTTTCAATTGTTTTAAATTAGCATAATATGCTCACGGTTATTCGTAATTACTTCAATTATTAATATTCAATAATAAGGAATTTTGGGTGTACCGGCTGTGTCACGTTTACCGAATTCACATAAATATTTATGGAATTATGTATTAAGATCCTATTCGATATGTGCCAGTATAAAAACTTCTCATGGCTCTGCTATGGTGAACAGGCTTTCCTTTGGTATAGTTGGAACATTATATTTTACAATACTTAACCTTTGTCTTTTATTAAACTATTATTTAACCATTTGCTGAGGTTTACTTAAATAAATATATAACTAACTGCAATCTGTCTTCACTGTATTGTGATTTAATCTCAAAGGACAGCCTGTTCTAAATTGATAATTTTAAGCGTAGGCAGTCCCAGTCATCTACCAACAAACAAACAAAATTATATAATGGAAGTAGAATCAAAAGATACTTTAAGAATTCAAGTTTTTGACCATTCAATTGATTTAATCACTAGTGAGAGGTCAGTTAGATCAATAGAAAAAGAATAGATATGGTAACTCACAACGTAACATTAATGGTCCAAGATATTATATCGCTAGGGATAATTACAGATACATTTCAAGGGAGACTAAACGAAACTCTCAATCGCCTAGGACTTAAGCTAAAAATAACGGTCGCAACAACGCTAAAACAAACGATTATACGAGTATACGCTGTTGGACACGCAATCGTTAAAAAAATAGACATATCGAATTATTACCAATATAAAATGTTTACTATCCGTGAGAATAAATCACACAACTTAACCATTTTAATATGTTTGTTTTCAATGTACACACCGGGTGTTAATCGTGATTTTACAGATTTCTATAAATATATATGTGAATTCATTAATCGTCACACAGACGGTACACCCAAAAATCCTTATTATTTAAAATTATTTTTTTAAGCGTTTAATTAAATTAACTTACCTATAGTAAACTAATTTATATTATATAGATACCCAATTGGAAATTAATATCTATTATTTTAAAACAAAAGTAAAAATAGATGATAAAATCCGGTTTTTTTGCAGTTAAAACGAATACATTGTTTTTTTTTAATTTACAATTGATTGGACGGATAAATTCGGTTCATAGTGTGAAACTCAAAATCGTTGTAACTGTAAGAATATGAATGTGAATAGTAAGGATCAGAATGTCGTTAGTGAAAAAATATGATAACGATAGGCTTTTATTGATTAACCTTAGAGCTAAACCAAATGATATTGTACTAATCCAAATGTATTTTCCCACATCAGATGCAGAAGATGACGCAATAGAATAGGTTTATTCTGGTCTAAAAGAGCTTTGCAAACTACCAAAGGGAGAAGATAACTTAATAATAATGGATATTTGGAATGCTATAGTAGGGGAAGGTGCAGATGGTCAAGAAGTATAGGTTCATTCGGGCTAGGAGCTAGATATGAAAGAGGAGACCGCCTCGTAGACTTCTGTAAGCAACATGATATGTCAGTAACATGAATGAATAATAATAAAAGGCACTTTAAATTGTCGAAAAATAAAAAAAGTTTCCTTTCCTTTAAAAATTGGGAAAAACATCCAAAAAAAATGTACATATTTTTAAAGTTTTTTTGAAAATAGTTGAATTAGTTTCAATTTTGTAAGGAATATTCTTTAGACATTTACCTAGTACTACCGATAAACATTGACAAATCAAAAAAAAAAAAAAAAGCTCCTCGAAGGAGTAAAAACTTTTTATTGACATATACATCTAAAAAGAACAAATTAAATTTGCCTTCATCGGTCAGTGTTTCTTATATCCTTTGCATTGCATTGAGTAAACTAGTTTACTGTTATCGCTAAAATTTAATCGGTGAATCAATGAAGTCCGTTTAAAAAAAACACTGTAATTTAGAATTAAACAAAGTGTATTCCGGAAAGTAAATATTATATACTATAACACATATTTTTATACAGTATTGATCAGTATAGTTTACCACATTTTATTTCCATTCCAATCTTTAAAAAAAAAATTTTGAAATATTATGTTATTTACAAAATAGTTTTTGTTTACTTAATGTTTAAATAAAAAATTAAAAAGTTAGTGGTTTTACAGTTATGAGGTGTTTTTTACTTTACAAATTGGAATTTGTTACTTCATAATAAACATTTTTTGTGCGGTCTTCAGATTCCACTGACATTTATTACTAATTTTAATTTTTAGTTAAAGAACAATTTAATTTTTCGATTATGATTTTTCCAAACTTTAACAAGGGTGTTTTAAGCATATTTATATAAAACAAATACATTTTTTTTAAGAATAAGTTGTTTGAAATTTCAAATCTGGTTTATAAATATAGAACACAAGTAAGTATTTTTTTATAACATACATTTTTTTTATCACAAAACAAAGTTACAAAATTTGTAATTAAACAATAATGAGATCGAATAAACAATTGAAATATATTTTTTATTACTTATTAGAATTTATTTGAAAAATGATAGTTTTGTATAAATAAAAAAGTAATACAATATAATATCTTTTAGGGTTAGATAAATAGACCTTAAAAACAAACGGTTAAGTTAATGAGTATTGCTTTAAATAACACTTGAAAATATTTATTTTATTTCAATATTTCATTAATTATATTGTATACGTATTTTTTTTTTTAAAGTTATATACTTAATAAAATTACTAAATGTTATAAGGCCGTTTTTGGCACTTAGAAGTTTAAAACAATTTTTAAATTGACAACAATACATACATACATACAATATACATGATATGACTTGACTATTCTACACGTCGCTTTCTTGCAAACATTATTACTTTCTTTAGCTTTCTTTGAAGATACATGCGATGATTTTCATTTTCAATAGCTATGCAATAATCTAATAAAAAAATATAGGTACAATATAAATACCCAAATGTTGATTCTATTTAATCATATGTTATTTGTTTTTTTTTGTTACAAACTATTCGTAAATTAGTAATTTTAAATTATTTATTTACAAATACATTTTTTAATTGGTTAAAAATTATTTTTATCAATTTTTTGTAGTGTTTTTAAAGTCACTCTTTAATTTCTTTGAAAATCGATATGATGTCTAGTTTGGTAACATGAATAAAGGAAAATAAAGTAGATTAAAAAATTAATCTAAAAATAACGTTTTTATGCGCCTTTAAAAGTATAAAATAACACTCCGGGGGTCTTGATACCAAATAGGACAGGTGAACTAGAAAAACGTGGGGCGCATCTTTCTACTTAGATATTAAAACCTAAGCTTTCATGCTAATGCATTAAGTTGTCTCTCTAACCGAACGGATCAGAAAGTGATAGTATGACTTTTTATCGGAAATGAAATTTAATGGATTTCCGTGCCACTTGCCTTAAATTTCATTGCAGATTGAAAAGACTTAATTGCTATTCTCTCCAAAGTTTGTTTTATGTAGGTTGCTTCAATTGTTTTGTTTACTACCTACTTGCTTAACATTTAAAGTAATATAGTGCTTAATTTTACATGCCATATCATAAGTATTATTTTATTTGAAGAGAAAAGATGATTGTGCATGAATTATGATTTAAGGTAGTTATTAATGAGAAGAGAATGTTATTATATATTCAGACGTGTGAAGTAGTAAACATGCGCTCCGTGTTTTTTTAGTTCACCTGTACTATTTGGTTATCAAGACCCCCGTAGGGTTATTTTATACTTTTAAAGGCGCATAAAAACGTTATTTTTAGATTAATTTTTTAATCTACTTTATTTATTTTGTTCTTTTTCGTTTTCGTATGTACGTATCTATATATTTAAATGTACAATGTTAAACCATACATTAGAAAAGGCTGCATGGTCAGAAGAATTATCATAAGAACTAGTAATCAATTTAAAAGCTTATAATTTTAGATTTATTACTGTAAAAATTACAATAAAAGTTGAAATTAAGTTGTAATTACTATATAAATTATCATAAAAGTTGTAAGAAAATGCAAAAAAGTGTAATGATGGGAACGGGTGGTTATCTGGTACCGATCATATCTGAGCACCGTTCACACCCAAACGCACAACGCATAATTTTTGCTGGCGGGTGAGAAATAAGACTTTTTGAATTGCAAGATTCCACCCGGAACGACAGACAAGAAATCGACCCCATTTTAACCCGCTTAGGGGTGGAATTTTCAACCTATTGTGGATTAAAAATGCATTGTCATCGAATTGTGAGCTACCCTGAAAGTTTCAGCCGGATAGCTAGTCGGGAAGTGCTCGAAATTTGAGTTGCAAGATTCCACCAGGAACGACAAACAAAATTGTGAGTTCATAAAAACGTTACAAAAAAAAATAGTTTAAAGTATCTCAAACAAACAGAAAAAAGTTAGGTCTGATAAGGTTAAACTGTTTACATGAGTGTAAAAAAATATTGTAAGTATGGCAATCAATTTACCTAACGACTGTCTTTTTGGTAAAACAGTCGCCACAGCAGGTTCTACTCGACCTTTATTGTTTTTTCCCAAGCCGGTTCCTTTTATGTAACCCATTTTCGCCATTATTTTTGAACCGATACCCTTTATTTCAAACAAAATCGTGGATTTTAAATATATAATTTAAATAAGAAATTGTTCCAGCAACTAGTTGAATTGCTGAAGCAAAATTTAATTTGCATTATTTTTTAAAAAATGTATACCTTAGTGTATTTTTCCCAGTCGCCTAAGGACTCTGAGGACCCTAGTTTTGTCCGTTTTTGGAGTACTTTATTTTCAGTGGCTTCGTTACGAGCGACAATTTTCCCCATGTTGTTGTAGTCTAAATAATTTGTGTGGCAATATTCGTCTACAAATTCTATTTTATGAAATTAGGTAGGTTAGATTATTAATTATGTAAATACATACCATATTTGTTAATCCCTGGATATATATCATGCATCGGGACTCTAGCCACCCCTAAACCAATGGTATTATATCGAACGAGACAAGTGCCGTCCTTAATCGATGTTCCATACTCGATGTCCAATACAACCGCTTTAGACCAGAGACAGCCTTTATATGTATTTGCCAATACAAGACTACCTATTCTTAAATGTTCGAAATTGGGCTCTCTGTAAGTGTATTTATATTTATTAATTATAATTTACATTTATTTCTAGAATACACACATGTAATTTGTTATACTAGTCAATGGTACTTGGGTGCCGTGTGAAAACTTACAATCCTGATCAGAATACATGCATTCACCGTCTACCCAGTACTTGCAAGGCACCATTGGATTGCTGGTAGGGTTCAAATACAATACAGTCACCTGCACAGATATTAAAAAAATAACACTTCACTTTTATAAGTTTAAATTCCACATTTTCAATACATTTACCTACCAGAACATTATCTAATGACATTGGAAAGGTCGTGTTTTTCAGAGTGAAAGACATGATAACCGCGTTACATAATATTGGACGACTAAACCCATATTTGAATGGGGATTGGCATTTCATACCTCGAAGATTTTCTAATTCAGCCTGTACTTAATCAATGTGTTAAAATTATAACTAGGTATTTAATTATTTTTTTTTTAAATATAAGTATATTTTATTCATTTAAAAATTTAGTTTATATGAGGCGCTCAGGAGCTTAACCGATTAACTCCACGTTTTTTCAAATTGCAAATAATAGCACGGTTGGATTACAAAAGTGTATATTTTTCAGTGGCCAAGATAAATAACTCCATAGTTGAATTTTTCGCCACTAGATTGTGCTAAGTAAATTGGCAATTGTACTTACATACATTGTTTTAAATAACTTAAAATGCCTGACCTGAAAAATTCAATTTTATGGAGTCAATCAGTTTGACTTCTGAGCGCCTCATATATAAAAAATGTAGTAATGAAACACAATAAATGATTGAAATTGACGATTGGACCTATCGTGGACCACTTAAGATTTATACTGAATTATAATACAAACCAGGACACTAGGACAGCTTTAGGTAATATAGAGTCCGTTAGTTGAATCACTTTCAAAGTATATAACGTTAATAGTTTCTGTATTATTTTCATTATGATACTTTTGTATTGACTATAATGGATTGAGATGGTTATCAATAATTATATCGATGGGGACTGGTTTCTAGAATATCTAACTATGATTTGTTTGCAAGTATCAACACATTAAATACAAATATTTGGGGGCTCTTTTTATAGTATATATACTCGCATTAGTGTAACATATTATCATACATTTTTTTTAAAAATTAGGTATATGATTTTTTAAATACGTACTTTAATTTCTTTGATTTTGTTTGAATAATCTATGATATTATTGTTTATAACTGTTTGTGAATTTGAATTTTCATCATCTGATGAGATCATAATAGTTTCAATTTCACCACAACTCGACTATTTTTCATTAAAAACATAAGTTGTTAATAGAGCACCGATTATATAACTAACTCTACATAATAACAATAAAATATATTTTAATACTTAATAATAGTAAAATTTTGCATTTGTTATATAAAAATAATTAAAAAAATTTTTTAAAAAATATTTTAGTGCCAGCGTTGTTTTTTGCATTAATTAGATTATTGGATTAATTTTATAACTGTACAATGTACATACCGTATTATCGTTACAGATGAATAATGAATCGGTACAGATGAATGATTCGCGAGTATATGTTCCATATGCGATGTTACAATTATTTTTTCAATACTATTAATATTTCCAATTTATTCCTGAAAATTAATTAAACGGTATTTATATAATATAATATTTAGCAAATGTGATTCTGTTAAATTTACTATAAATGAATCACTTTCACAATTATTTTTATCAATACGATTAATCTTTCCAATTTCTTCTTTAAAATTAATTAAAAAACGGTATTTATATAATATAATATTTAGCAAATGTGATTCTGTTTAAATTACTAGAAATAAAGCATATTCCTGCTTTATTGTAACCTCATTCTGTAGGTTGGACATGTAACTGTTATGTTTCCACTCAATCGAGTTACTTTTTAACATTTACGGCGCAATTAGTTTGTCGTCACATTGCGATAGAACCATCGTCTTTTCCATTTGTGTCACCTATAAAAGTAAGCAAACAGTAATTTTGCGCATTTTCCACCTGCTTAGTATATCAGCAATTGACACGTTTATTAAAATAAGGGCCCAATTTCAAATTTTGGGTTTTTTTCAGGAGACACAAAAAAGAAAATTTTTTTTAATGAAAACTTTATAATTTTTCCTAATTTATTACCATTTAATGGGTTGGTTTAATTTATAAAATATTAATTTTTAACTTTAATTTAGCCTAAGGAATTAATTATTCATATGATTATCGGTTCACCCAGACTAGTTTAGATCAATTCAAAAATAAGTTGGCAATGGTTGTTTTTGTAAAACCATTCATTTTCGTATTTTTATACTGTCAATAAATGTAATACATAAACTATATATAGTAATATTTGAGTATCATTTAGCATTACCCAGAGAACACCACGAGGAGGCGATACTCTTTGTTCTCCAAAAGTTATTTTTTAAGTTTAATTACAGTTCACTTTTAAGCGTTACACTTTTTTTTATATTTAAATCGCACAAACTAAATTAATTTTATTTAAATGGAGACCAAAAAACCATCTATTAATTAAAAAATTATTTATTTTAAAAAATATATTTATTATTAGTGTATATAGTATTTATAGTACCAATAATAGTTTTACAATACCATTTCAATACTATAATATTTGTTATTTTCTTACGATGTATGATGTCCAAAATAAACTGATCATTGTTCGACTTAAATATGTATTCAATAACGCTATTGCGGGAAGAGATGGTTTTTTGGTCTCCATTTAAATAAAATTAATTTAGTTTGTGCGATTTAATTATAAAAAAAAAGTGTAAAGCTTAAAAGTGAACTGATAATTAAAAAAACAAAACAAGATGAGATATAGTTAAAACAAATCATCCAATCTATCCGCACTTATCCTAAAGAGCCTCTACATTTAACTTGCATTATTTTGTTTTAAACAAAAACTTTTAATATTATATCAAAACTTAAAATATGAGGTCATATTTTTATTGTAACAAAGAGGAGTGTAGTATGTAGTAGAATATAACAACAAAATAATTAAAAATTACCTAGTGTTGACTTGTATAACTATAACGCTTATTTGGCAATAGGTACATGGACCTACAATAGTTTTATGAAGCGTAAGCAAAATTGTATGAAATGTTTTAATATTTAAAGCCGCCTGAAGAAGACTGTCGGGGTCACTCTCTCGTATATGATCGTCTACGAGGGGTGTTTGTTTCGCGTTTAATATCGTTTTGTACTTTCACATTGTTTTAACGAAAATTATATTTTGTTGTGTGTAAATCTTTTGAAGTCATAATTATTTTACTTTTAAAAAAAGTTCTTTCCTTTTTAGTTTAAGTATTATAAAAAGTGTGTTACAAAATAAATAGTCACTGAGTTAATTCATAACAAGTTTTATTTTAATAAATTGGTCACTAACTCTATAAAGAACGTACAGATAATAGTCACCGGCTCAACTAAGTTTTTATACCTAGCTCTAGGACGGGTGCACTGACGATACAGTTTCCTACGAGATTAGAAACACTGGCCCTTTTTCCTTTATACATTAAAACTCAGGGGTTAAAGTGGGGGGACGCAGGGGGACTCAGTCCCTTTACCTTTAATGGTGGTTAAAAAGCATCCCCTTTAACAAATCATTCGTAAGGTACACCGTACCACTCCAATTATAACGAAACATACTAATGTTATATTGACTACAATATAATTCAGAATTCCGTTGAGATTAAATCTTGGTTTTTATTTTTTTATCAATTGTTCCTTTACTTTTATCAAATGTATTTAATACAAATTATGGACTATCTAATATATGTGTAAAAATAATTGATTTTATTAGTTATTGTAAATGGCTATACTGTGATAAATAGGTATTTGATTAGCCCATAAGTGATAACATAGATACATAGGTAAAGTGTGAATGTGTGATGTTTTAAGGATGCTCACCCCACCATGCGTAGATTTGAATTTTTTCTTGTACAATTTAAAGCACTAAAAACACTACATTTTTATGATATATATATTTTTGGTCTGGGTGATTTTTTTAGTTTTCTTAAAAGACAACCACTACTTACAACATAATATTATAAGAAAAAATATTCTCTTTCAAAATGTTAAATTTGTATAAAACACGAGTTATTCTTAAAAATTTTGTATTGTTTGTGGTTTACATTTTTTATGAAATAAATTACAAATTTGAACATTATTCAGGGATAAAAGTGGGATGAGTATTGAGTATGTTACACAATCACTGTTTCTATATTACATATACTATACGCATTAGACATTATACATACAATTTTATATGGAACGCTTAAAACTATATGGAGACATTAGTCCCCCCTGTAATTTGTTCCCACTTTAAGCCCTGTTAAAACTAATATTAGAATAATAATCAGGTTAGACCTAAAAAACAACCTTTTTTTCAGTGTGTGTACCGTGCGTGTTTTGGACCGAGACCGTATCCGTATATTATTGGAAATTAAATGATAATTAGCAATATCCATTTAAATTTACAGTAATTTACGCATATGATTCGTTAGAATGACGATTGAGAGTGGCTGGTTCCAGGATGGCGGGATTTGGTATCTGTAAGTGTAAGGAAATAAAATAAAAGTCGTTGGCGACGTAAGCCTTCTTAAGGACTGTTTTTTTACTTAAACAGTTTTAGACATCTATACTTAATTCGTTAGATAAGTGACTACTACAAAAGCAAAAAAAAAAATAATGTAAAATAAAGTGTTTATGTCCAATACATGAGACAATAGTAGTTCTACAAGATAAACTTACCACAACTTGCAAGATTCACTTACTTAGAATAAAGAGATTTCGCTCCCGTGCAATTTCCTTGTAATTCGAGTTTTTTTCGTTCATTTTTTCCGTGTTTGCGTTTGTTCTATTCGTTACGGTCCCCTCTATCAGTGCCGGTGGAAGGAAGACTGTAGCGACCCATTTTCGTGGGAAGACGCGAGGGGTGCCAGGTGGTTCCGTTGCTAGGACGGACATTTTCGGAGTTATTTGATAAGGAGTGGCGCGGCAACCCGGCCTCTTGGGATATCATCCAGTTGGCCAGGAAGGCGTCGGAAGCCCTAAGAGCGGCGGAGGACGCGAAATTAGCAGGTGGTAGTTTTCGTGACAATTTGCAGCACGAATAACCACTGTTTTTTCTCGCATCATTGGATAGAGCGTGATCTTGCGGATCTAAAGCGGGGTTGTGCGGCCTTCTTTCCGCTCTAACGGCTGAAAAATCGGGAAAAAGCTCCGCGTCGATGGAAAATTTGTATTTTCGGGAGTTTTTGTTTTGCACTGAAACGGCCATAGTCAGCTGGTCAATTTATAGGTTTTCAATTGAGGAACGAATTTTTGCCATTTTTAGGTCGGGAACCAGCCTGAATCGTACCAGAACCTATAATTAAAAGTGTTGGTGACCTCAAGACAAAGGGTAATATCGAAAAATCGCGCGTTTATTACAAGTAGGGCCGTACAAGAATGTTACGAACTCTCTTATAATGTCTGTGATAAGCGATAGTGACGTCAGTGACAGTGCCTGAAAGCAGCCTTATGTCAGGGACGCAAAGTGCGTGAGAGAAGGAGGTCTGATGTAACGTTAGACAAAGAAATAAGAAAGAAACGGAAAACAGCAGAAGAGACGTGCAGAGCTGACCGCTACACTGACATTTTGCGAGCTTTGGACTAGTTTATTGTCAAGGCCAGAGAACAATAAGGTGCTGTTAAACAAGGAAACCACGAAACTGTTTGTGGATAAGATTGCTGACATAAAAGATTTTATCAAGGAAGAGCTATTGGCCAGCAGTATCAAGACGGATGTCGTGAGCCAGTTCCCAGCCGTTGTGGCGGTGAAGCAAACGGAGGTGGACAGACTAAAAGTTGTGGTCGAGAGACTGCGTGAAGCCCGTACTGGTGAAATGGCCATCGCAGGCAGTTCTGTACCGGGCCAGGAGCAGCGGAGCCAGCAGACCAAAACCCGACGGCGACCGGAAACAAGAAGAACACAACAGGTCAAGAGATCCGTTTCTGTGAAAAAACTGGAGTTAAAAAGGGCAGCTATACCAGAAACTTCGTTTGTAGTCCAAGGAAACTGCGATTCAACTGTGAAGGCCCAACTGTGGACGGTAGTCCTAAAAAAGCCAAAGAAGTGTAGTACAGTTCTTAAAGGCAAATGTATATTAGCAAATAAGCAATTAAATGTATGCCAAATAGCTAAAACAAATCCAAACAAAATTGTCAACACAGCAAAAGTTACAATCATGCTTATTATTTAAAGCCGCCCAAAATACTATTTCGGTGGCACTCTGCCGTAAGCGTTCGTCTGTTACGAGAGGAGTATTATCGCGTACTTTATTGTTTTTATGAACATTTTATTTTTGTGTGTTTATTCATTTTTGAGTTGCTTTTCTTTTACTTAATTTTAAAAGTATTACATCACATCCCTTTAAAGGTAATTAAAACTAAGTGTTCTTTAACAAATAAGTGTACTGCAATAAAGCCCGCGACTCTCGAGGAAGCCTTAGTACGGCTTTTGGTTCTTTGCTAGTGTTAGTACTTGCGTTTAGGCTATTAACCTGTTTATTATAGTAATAAACTCTTACTTATGGGTGTGAAGTGTGGACAACGACAAGTGTGACAGTGAGACGACTTAGAACTTTTGAAAATAAAATATGGAGGATGATATGCGGACCAGTTCGCGATACAAGGACAAATGAATGGAGAAGGAAGTTCAACAAGGAACTGGGCTTAGCACCAGTCACTAATTTTATAAAAGGACAAATAATTCAGTGGCTGGGCCATATTATGAGAAGAAGCAAAAAAAAATCATCAGAGCAGTTATGGAATGGAAACCGGAAGGGAAAAGGCCTCGAGGCAGACCGAGGAAGAGGTGGCTAGACGTAGTAGAGGAGGATCTTAAGCCCTGGGAGTTCAAGAATGGAAGAAAATGGTGCAAGATCGAGAGAGATGAAGGGATGTAGTGATGGCGGCAAAAAATCTAATAGAGTTGTAAATGCCAGTGAAGAAGAAGATTATAGTAGTAAAGCTAGACAATATAATTGTTCCGAGGCATTATACTATTTATAATTGGAGGCCTGTCATTGGATGGAAAGCACCCGAGGCAGAATCAATCCGGAAGAGTCGACTTGAGCTCTGCCACATTTATGCACCACTTATTTAAAAGGCACCTTAGTTGTTAGGTAAAAGGTATTAAGTAATTTTCTTTACAGCGTGTGTGTGTGCTTATAACTTTTCGTGTACGAAAGTGCGTATACGACAGAAGACACAGATGAATATGGTTACTACAAAATCGGGAAAGGTCATATTAAAAGACAAAAGATAATGACACGATGTGTGCCCTGAGAAAAATTAAAGCAATGGTAAAAGAAGAGGGCCCGAAGTGGCCCAGAGT